AATCCCACACAGGTGCAAACAATGAACACTCCCCCAATCAATCAAGCAGCAGCACAAAAAAAAGAGGGGAAAACCAGAACACACACAAAAAAAAGTAAATTTAAAAAACAAATTTTTTTTAATCCTTACCAACTTTAAAGATTAAACAAAAATAAAATACAAACCACTCTCCACAGTATACAAACCACTCCAAGTAACTCCTGGTTTTCTAACTCCTACTTGAAAGAGTCTACTTAATAGAGGCTGCTTTCAAATAATGTGAGCAAGCTCAGTGAGTTAGGGGTGTGCCTTTATGGGGATACAAATCCCACACAGGTGTAATTAATAAACACTCCCCCAATCAATCAAGCAGCAGCACACAAAAAAGGGGGGGAAAACCAGAACACAAAAAAATAAAAAAAAAGTAAATTTAAAAAAACAAAAATAAAAAAAAACTAACCACTCTCCACAGTATACAAACCACTCTCCACAGTATACAAACCACTCCAAGTAACTCCTGGTTTTCTAACTCCTACTTAATAGAGGCTGCTTTCTAATAATGTGAGCAAGCTCAGTGAGTTAGGGGTGTGCCTTTATGGGGATATAAATCCCACACAGGTGTAATTAATAAACACTCCCCCAATCAATCAAGCAGCAGCACACAAAAAAGGGGGGGAAAACCAGAACTCAAAAAAACAAAAAAATTAATTTAAAAAAACAAAAATAAAAAACAAACCACTCTCCACAGTATACAAACCACTCCAAGTAACTCCTGGTTTTCTAACTCCTACTTGAAAGAGTCTACTTAATAGAGGCTGCTTTCAAATAATGTTCTTGTTCTTGTTCAGCAGTTGGAAGATCATCCGCACAGAGGAGTAGATCATCCACGTACTGGAGCAGGACCACGTCAGGGTGAGACTTCTGCCAAGGTTCTAGGACAGCTGACATAGCTTTTGCGAATTGGATTGGGGAATTCTGTGCACCTTGAGGCATAACAGTCCAAGTATACTGTTGATGATCTTGTGTGAAGACAAACAGATATTGACAAGAGGGATCTAAGGGCACGCTGAAAAAGGCGTTGGCAAGATCAACCACAGTGAAGAATTTAGCTGTAGGAGGGACTTGTGACAACAGTGTATGTGGATTCGGGACAACAGCAGTGTCTCGGCTGGTGACATCATTAACAGCGTGTGGGTCTTGAACCATACGGTATTGGTCAGGTTGGCCTTTTTCAGTCTTCTTCTTTACTGGAAATAGAGAGGTGTTACACTGTGAACACACTTGACCAGAGCACCTTTTGCCAATAGACTTTCAACTTGCTTTGAGATGGCGAGGGCTTGTGCAGGCTTCAATGGGTATTGTGGTCATCTTGGTGGATAAGCTCCCTTTATTAGTGTAACTACCACAGGTGGGACTTGTAGGCGTCCGATGTCATCAGGACCTGTGGACCAAAGTTTAGCTGGGACCCTATTGAGGGCATCTGGGACCCTTACCTCCTCGGTGGGGGATGTCATGTGTAGTAGTAATGGCAGAGAGCAGAGGACAGAAGTATCTTTGTGAGAAAGGGGGGTTAATAATTGGACCTGGCCATCAGCAGTGAAAGAGATAGAGGCTTGAAGACAGGACAGAACATCAGCACCTAAAAGGTTAATTGGACAAGTGGAAGAAACAAAGCATGAGAGTATGTCAGAACCCACCGCAAGAGCTTAGTTAATGGGTTGTTTCTAGGGGTGCCATCGACACCAACATAAGAGACATCTGTGTCGGATAAGCAAGATGGGTCAGGTAGGTCTTGTTCTCTGAGAACACTGCGGGCTGCACCTGTGTCAACTAAAAAGGTAGAAGTATGACCCTCAACTGGTAGGACAACTGTGGCAAGAGGCCCCCCTTTGTCCCCTGTAGACACTGCCATGACAGGGGTGTTAGACACAGGTTTGCCAGTTACCTATTGCACAAGGTCTAGATGAGATTGATCAGGGCCAGTGTAGTGACGTGTGGGTGTGGTGGAGTGACTGGCCTGATGAGTCTGTCGTGTAGGGCGATGTTGACTGGGTACAGGACTGTCATCTGGTTGGTAATCATCTGTATCATAACTATCAGGGGAAGGGTGAGCATAGTTGTGGGAGAGGGTTGGGAGATGGCTTGGGCATATTCCTGAGAGGGGAAATACGAAGTATGTGTCTGGGGATGTGCCTGTGGAGGAAAACAACCATATGTGGCTGCAGGGGCATTGGGGTACATAGGATAGCCGAACACAGGATTAGACG